CGTTGTGGCTGCTGCTTCTTGGAGCACTTTCCTCGTCTGCAACCCCCTCCTCTGCACTTTCACCACTTTTGCACAAACCCGGCGTGCCTTCCCCCCGCCCCCCACCTCCTCCCTTCAGTACCACCTCATCCAAAAACCATGTGCAGCGTGTCATTTCAACTCCCTCAATGCTGAAGAAGGGCCCCTAACAAAACAAAACAATTATCTCTACCCTCGTTAGGACCTGGCGCGCATCCCCTCTCCCTATTTAACTCCTCTTTTTTTCTCCTGCCGGACCCGGCCTTCGCTCTTACCCCAGCCGTAGCCGTCTGTGACAATAAGTCGAGCTGAGGGTCTCTTAAGTGCTTCTGAAGTGGGGCGTTTAGCTGATTTTAGGCTTCATGTTTCTTTTAAAGGCCCCGGCAGAAGCAGAGGCACGGGATGGTTGAGATTGCCCATGAGAGAAAGATTAAGAAAGGGCAAGAGAGCAGAGAAACGCAATGGTACGTATCTGTACGAGGTGGTGGATGCTTTGAGGTGGGCTCTGATGTGTGCCGGTGAAGAGGAAGAGGAAGAGGGAATGGATGGGCTGGCAGCAGGAGGGTGGGCAGGCCTCACCGTGCCAGCTCTTAATTACTTTAATTGGAGTCATTAGCTAAGTGAGCATGAGAGACATCACCTGCACGGCACGCAGGACCGCACCTGCCACATCATCATCTCACTCCAGCGGAGGGTTTACTGACAGCTCAACACCCGACCGACCACCCTACTGCTGCCACGACGAGGCCACAGTCAGTACAAGAAGGCTAAGACGCAAACACATGAGAATTAAAGGAATAAAAACAATTCAACAGAGCGGAGGAGGTCAGGGTGTCAAATAGTTGTTATCATCAAGAGCCAGACTAAAATGAAAGTGGGAAACAATGCAAATATACAAGCTCCAGAAAATTGCTAAATGAAAGAAGACTTTAAGTAGAAGACATCGGGTTACCTTTTCATGCAATAAGGCATTTGGATGTGGGCACATCACTACAACAAACTAACAATTAAAGATAAGAGTCAGTAGATTTTCCTTCAAAAAAACAGACTTATACAAAAGTAATGTCAACTTATCAACTATTGTTTATCAGAGGGCAAGATGGCTGATCACGGCCCTTTCATTTACTCCAGACAGATCTGATGAATCTCTGGCATGTTTGAAATCTGGGTCTTAAAACTTCATAACCTCTCTTGGTGATGCTGACTACGTGTTTGTGTGTGTGTGTGTGTGTGTGTGTGTGTGTGTGTGTGTGTGTGTGTATGAGAGAGAGAAAGCACGAGCGTTTTCACCGTAATTGTACATGAATTTATGTGACAAGTGAAATACACATAAACCCGACTTCAACCTCAGTCTGTGGAAATTTTCAAAGGAAACCTTACTGACAATTGTCAATGCTCCGTCCTGATTTAACTGGTACTGTACATTGTGAGCACTCAAGTCGTGGCAGACAATCGGACCGTACTGTGTGTACACGGAAATCTTGAGCTTTGGTGGTGCTGGAACCATTTCAACCTTTTTGAGACAAAGTCAGGCAGTTGTTGAAACTAAATAGATTGTAGATCCTTACTCGGGTATAAACACACCTAAAAGTCTGTGGGTCAAAGTGTATTAAAGTTGAACGGTAAGCTAAATATATTTTGAAGTTAAACAACATGAAACACATACGGTATGAAAATCTCCTTTCATTTCCGAGGATTCGACCACTAGTTCTGTAGTTCCCTATGATGTCACTCACCTTATAGTTTGATGCTGTAGGAGGGGGACAGCCTGGGACACGACAGGAGGTAGAATAGATGATTCTTCATTAATGTTGTGATGCTACTGCCCATGTCCAGCCTGAAACACTGAACTCACACACAGACAAAAAAAAAAAAGAATACGTTCATGTCATAAACATTGCTTTTTGCTACTTTTGACAGTTGTAGTATAGGATACCAAAACCTCTGAAGGACTTTGTTCAATGACGAACTTTGATGATGTCCAGACCTGCAGGCTACACCTTCCTCTGTCCTCCACAGCACCCAGCAGACAGCCTGGCAGGCGTGCTGGCAGACAGGAAGGGTGGCAGTGGGCTGGTTGTCTTCGCCCGGGGCACCATCTCCTGCAGAGCCAACTCTGACCAGCTGGTCCAGACTAACACCACCGAGTGAGCGCGCACAACCGGATCAGCGGGGAGGTAGATACTAGCTGCAGTCCAGACCCTCTCACACCTCAAGCCTGACACCTAAGGCAGAAAACCTGCACCCATGAGATTCAGGTGAGAAGACTCTGTCTGGTTTACGACTTAACAGGTTGTCACATTTCTCCTGGCGGACCCTGACACCATCCCTATTGCGTTCCAGAAAGCAGAGCATTATGGACCCCTGTTTGCCATCACCTGCTGATGCCAGATCTGAGAGCCCGGTCCCCAGTCAGGGTCGGTCCAATCTAATGTGATGGTTTAGCTCCAACAGAGCTCCAAGTTGCGAGGGAAAGTCTGGTGGACTGCCCTGTTCCAGCTTGATTAAGCTAGTTAGTTAGCTTAGCAGTGTTAAGCATGAGATTCAGAGGACACCACGACAAGTCAGTAAACAAAAGGTTTACAATAGGACGCAGATTCAGCTCAGTTGGCGGACCGCGTGTCCCATGTGCAGAGTCAACAGTCCTCACCTGCAACGACCCCAGGTTTGACCCCGATCCTCCACCCCTTGAACTGCATGTCTTCCCCACTTTCTCCACCCAAATGTTTCCCATCTCTCTACAGCTGAACCATCATAAGAGCAATAATCTGAAAAAAAAAAAGAGTTCATAACGTCACAATAAACTGACCGGGGAATATTTGTTTTCAAGTCAATTATAAGACAAAGAAGAAAATAAGAAGCCTGTGCTGTTAATTAACAACTTCTGATGGTCTAGAAAAACATTTTTCAAAGACAATCTTCCAAGAAAACGCACAAAAATAGGCCTCAAACAGTCCATTGATGATTCAGTTCCCCTTGATACACCTTGATTGACCTGATATCGTTTGAGCTTCCCCCCCACACACTGCACACCTCGCAACCACTTCCACGTCTGACAGTTAAAAGGCCTACACACACAGAGAAAGAGCAGGCAGCTCATTGTGCGTTTTAAAGCGCTAACTAGGCCACTTAGCACCCCGTGACGCTGATCTGATCCCCGAGGCGCTGAACTTGGCAGAGGGCCCTCCTCCTTTTCGCTCCTTCCTTTCCCCCTCGCCATGGGAACCAGGCCATCCTTAATGACGCAGGAGTGCTCCGCCGGATCCCACAATGCAAAGGGGGCTGACATCTGTCTTGCTAAGTGGTGCACTCTCTTGTGCACCTTGTTTGTTCAATCAACAACTCTCTCTTCCCCCCCCCACACACACACACACACACACACACACAACTCCCCGCTCCTCCTCCCTCCCCTCCTTCCTCTACGCCGGCTTTCTTTTTTATCCCTTTCTCGTATTAAAAAAGACAAAAGATTGGAAGAAGAGAGGTACAGAGTTTGAAAAGAATAGACACTGAGATAGTGAGATCATGACTCTCTTCACCGCCATCATCATCACACACACACACACACACACACACACACACACACACAACAGCACAGTGGGCAGATTATTACCGCATGCAAGTGAAGTGCACCACAGCACAGTGACAGAGATGGATTGCTAAACACATTGCAGCTGAAGTTATGAATCTGGCATTTCACAAACAACAATCTGCACTAGGAGGAAGGAGAGTTTTGAAAGCAAGAACTGATCACAGCTAGCAGGCCTCTGTGAGCCTCACAACCTCTTCTGCATATTTAGAAAAATAAATAAGTGCCTGATTAAAAGTGGCCCCCTAAATCCTCCTAGTTAAGACCTGGGCAAATATTTGTCCCATCAATCTTGGAAAATATAGCCATCAATCCAAGATGTTAATCACATGCTAATGGAATCCGAGGGGCTCAATGCAACCCCCGTAGCGCAATGAGCGCTTTCACTTTTTCAGAAAGCCCACGTGAATACAAATGGCCATCTAAACAGTCACTTTGACAGCATGCCAAGGCAACGTAAAGAGCCCCCTTCTCTATGCCCCTCTGGGAATGTATGTAGGCATGTGTGGGATGAGTTCACTTTACCAGGCCCAGGTGCCAGGGTATAAATGAATAATAGGTTTTATGGAGCCCTAACTGAAAAAAGTGCATACACACATAATCACACATGCTCAGCCGCTCAAGTGCATCTGCAGAGAAGGATGTTCAAATTCCCACAACAACCCTGAAAAGAGATTGGGCATGAGAATAGGTGGTTCCTATACATAATTCAGGGGTCCATGCTGAAACAATTATGTTTGCTTACTCCTAAGTACCCGTGCTCAATAGCTCGTTTGCTCTCTAGTTTGGTGCTTTCAGATGTAAGTGCTATGTGCTAAAAGTCGGCGGAACAAGGCTTTTTTAATAAAATATAGGAGCTGACACTTGAACGCTTGAATACGAGAGTGATGGAAAAAAAAAAAACAAATACTCTTCATGTTTTAACTCCAGCTTTGCATGCAAACTAAATTGCACTTGTGAATATAACAGTGTTAGCAGAAAACTAATTAGCAACGCCCAGGCAAAAGGAATCAGGACAAACAGGAGATTTTAATGACGATATTACAAGTTCACAATATTCCAGTTTAGTTGAATCTAAACACTTTTTCTGAAAACATAACACTAGTCCAGTGTGGACAGATCGGTCTGTTGCAACATGACCAAAATATAGGTCATTTTGTCATCAATCATTGGTGTGAATAAACACCACAACATATTATTCTGAATAAAACATTCAGACTCGTAATCAAACACAGATACAAACACTGATACACATGTTCATAAAGATGCATGCTTCTAGTTCATTTTCATGAAGTGAGGATAAAGTCGATGAGTGCAGTGATCTCACAGAGAATGAAGGTATCAGCCAGGATTAAAACGATTACCTGCCCCTTAAAAAATCCTGGACAATCATTTTTTGGACAACATTTGTAACAGAATCACAGGTGTGTGGAAGCCACAGCATCTGCCCTCTTTTCCTCACGGCCTGTCTCGCACTTGCACTCCTCCACCACCACCAGCCGCCTCTCCCTGACCTCAGCTCCACAGCGCAGAGGCACGGTCACGGTGTGAGATTTAGACGGGGCGCAGCGGGAGCAGGGGGCCCGGTGACGGAGTGACCCTGTCCCAGAAGAACCCGGCCCTGCAAACTCTCCTTCCGACGGGACAAACAGGGAGCTGCACTGACCGAAACACAGCTTGTTGTGCACGGTTACTGTGCTGCATCCCTCCGCTGTCACATGCTGGGAGGAAGAAAGAGAGGAGCAAGATTAGATCAAGCATCACAGCTAGTTTTTCTTCTAAAGCCATCTCCAAAGATTCAATACACAACACTTTTGTGTTTACATACCATCCATACCTTATTCATACAGCAACGACCGAAACACAGCTTGTTGTGCACGGTTACTGTGCTGCATCCCTCCGCTGTCACATGCTGGGAGGAAGAAAGAGAGGAGCAAGATTAGATCAAGCATCACAGCTAGTTTTTCTTCTAAAGCCATCTCCAAAGATTCAATACACAACACTTTTGTGTTTACATACCATGCACCTTATTCATACAGCAACATTTTTTCCTGCAATGTAATTATCAGGTTGGGAAGCTCAAATGCTGTCATAATACTGTACTGTTGTGTTCCAGTTAAGGTTGTCAAAATAACCTTTTTTTCAATACTTACAATCAGGACAAGACAAGTGACAACAGTGTTCAATTAAAGCTGAATGCTAAATCAAGCTGTTGTCTGACTGTAGCTGATGGGTTATCAAAGATGACCAGGTTTCTCTCTGACTTTCACTGGCCATTGTTTTGTAAGGGTACACATCCTGGCTTCACCCATGATATAAAAATAATCATAGTTTCTTACCTGGGTGAAAGGTATAGCAGTGCACGTCTGTTTTGTGTCCTTCAGGTTGATTGGCAGGTGCATCTTCTCTCCTTTGTTTATGGCTCTCTGCCACATCTGCAGGCCTTGCGTCTTCTTCACCTCTATCTCATTTTTAGGCTTCAGGTGGTGTAGTGGACTCAGTGGGGTCCTGGGGCCTGAAGCAGGACCTGGACGTCCCTGGGACAAGAAAGCTGGGAAGGACAGTCTGGAGCTGAGGGAGGGGGCTCTTCTGGGGGTCAGACCTTGTCTGAAGAAGCCTGAATGGGCCAGGGACCGAGGGTCCAGCTGCACCACCTTTACTACTCCCCGGACAGGTTCATCTGGTCCGCTTCCTGATGACTCAAAGTCGACTCTTGATCCTTTCACGATGTTGTCAAAGGCATTGTGAGGTAATGTAAGAGCCAGGGTCCAATGGGATAGAAGGACGAGGATGAGAGGAAAGGCCATTCTTGTAAATAAACAGGGATAGATCTAAAAGTAGAAGTAGCACAATTATTTTCAAATTCTGACAGAAAAAAGTTACAGCTAAATTTGCGAAAAAAAATGAAAATCTTTGTCTGGAGGTTTGGTCCAAGGTTCCAAATGGCAACCTTGCTGTCAGTGCTTTGTGGGAGTGAAGGAGGGTGCCTTTTATATAGGTAGCTGCCAGTTCTCACCTGAGTTTAAATGGAAGTGAAGGTGTCGCAATTCCCACACCAGGCCAGACATCACACCGAGACTAGAACTCCAGCTCGGGGATAGTCGCCAGACTGGGAGGACTTCAGAGTCAAGGTGAGCGTTAAAAACAACGTCATAAACAAATTAGCCCTTAACCAAAGTATTGCAATGTATTTTCTATTTTGGTAACGTAGATCCCTTTAAGTTATTTAAACAAAAAAATAAGTCCTTGGTTGGCCCCCAATACTGGGTCATTTTCATGTTTATAACAAAAATTGCAATCAAACTCCTGTACATTGTCTAAATTGCACAAATAAATTGATGTCAATGTTTTGATAAAGGTATGTGTGCAATTTAGACGGTGCTCTCTCTTGTTGAGTTCAAAATATGACTTAAGAGCCTTCATTTTTTTAAAGCTTCATCAGTACTTTTGGATACTGTCAATAATTAAAACATTATGCATAACTATGCACTTAACATCATTCTTCCAGAGGAGATGTCTTCATTTCATGTTTCGATGATATTGAAAGCTCTGCCTCAAAAGTCTTTGAGAATCTGCATCAAGGTTTAGTCGCTTCAATCTGTGATTTTTAAAACTATAGAGTATGAAACCATATGAAACATACTATTCATTCAGAATCACAATCAACAAACACATTTCAACCCCTTTACAAGTAAATGATCATCATAAAAGTAGACAATACCCGCGACATGCACAAGGAAAACTTCATACCACGAGGACGTATTAATTCAACAATAGCATAGTAGGGTTGTCACAGTATGATACTAGTAAAATTCAAATGGTATGATATCTGTTGAGATGCACAGCAACAGAATTAAAAGTCTTAGGAACACAATGTTGGGTCATTTCTTGTTTTCAAGTACCAAAATTTGCGAGAGACAAATCCTGCACAGCCACGCTGTCTCAATTATACAAAACATGAATTTGTGACATTCAGGCAGGGCTCTCTTTTTTTGGGTTTAAAATATGACTCAAGTTCTGTCGTCTTTTGTAGTCTTAAACTTTAGGTCCTTTTCAATAGCATGGATAGTTAAACTAACATACCTCTCTGTATATACGTCTGCATCAAAAACAATCTAGATATCAATCGTTTTGACAACCTGACGGTAAAGTAATGCAGCCAGGGGAAACTTTTCTGAACGATTTAGGAAGACCACTCGTTCAAAATGTGCCCTTGTCTACAATAAAACCCTCATTTAGCAGGTGTTCCCGTTACATTTGGTCATAAAGCAGTAATGACTTTATGTTCTCTGGGCAAACAAACCGTCTCCTGTCCATTTTTCCCACAGCCCCAACTTGTCGTCCCATCATTATACCATTAGACTTCAGTGAGCTCGCTCAGCCGTGACCTGATCACACAGCGGAGCTGCTGGAAGGTAAACCGGCTGACAGAGTAATAATATTCAGGGTGTTTGACTTTCTCAAAGTGCTCTTGGTGACCAGAGGCACGCTTACGCCATAAACTCTTTCCTAAATCTGTTTCATGTCTCAAACTTTGTCTTATGGTGCAGACAGATTCACAGAAGAATGGAAGATGTTCAATTTAATCTTCACTGACCTGAAACATTTAAACATAAGCTGGTGAGGTCTATTCTCAAGATTTTTTTAAACAATTATACAGTTAAAAATCATTACCGAATGTGTTCAGTATTATTACAGGAAAATATCATCCCTGTTTCTGCAGTTTATATGTTTTCCACAAGAGGGCAGACTTTACAAAGAATATAGTCTCCCCTCCTATCCACCTGCTCTCTCACTATTTGGCAGCCTGGTCTGTATGAACTATTGAGGACATTTAAAAAAAAAAAAAAAAAAAAATGTGTCATACAACTTTTCGTTTTTCCTTCTCACACACTAACACAATGCATATCTCTTTTTATGATGTGAATGTATTTAACGTTGACTCTATTTTCACAATCGTAAGACCCAGTGACACATTTGGAAAAACGAATGACTAAGCTGAAGCTTATCTTGAGGTTAGCACATTTTAAACCAGTAGCTGTTGAGGTGTTATGTTTTTTTTTTTCCTTTTAGAAAAGAGAAACTCAGTTTAACAACAGTTTAGTCTGACACAAAACTGTGAACAAATAAACTTATAGGGCCAAGAGAAATTAGGTCAATATAAGCAGATAAAATGGTGTAAAGTTTACATTATCAGTAAAACAAATGCTCAGGAAACAACTGAATCTTGGCGCTACGTTCCAATTCTTGAACTGGCCTCCCTGGAGGAAAAGGCAAATAAAGGGGAAACAGGTGAAATCTGAAGCAAGCCTCTGGACAGGCCTTCCTCATCAGCTGACTTCTCTGTGAACTATCATAAAGTGGCCAATCAAGTAAAAGACAGAGAGTACAAAGTGTACAGCAAAGAAGGGAAAAGCCCAGCCTTGTTTTAGATGCTCAAGGGCTCGACAAATTCTGTGGCCGTGCTCGATTATAATGTTGGTTTTGCCCATAATAAAGATTATTTCATTCAGAGCAGACAGTAAGCCTTTTGAGCTCATTGAAAAAAAAACAGTGAAAGATCCCATACAAATGTTTATACTATGGAGCAGTTTGAGAAATAACATCCTTATGTGTTTATAACTGAAAATGTTGAATAAGTACCGGATCACACCAACACATTATGTTACAAGAAATCTTTTTACTTATGATGTTCCCAAATATTGTTTCTCTTCTCTGTGATCTAAAATTAACTTTTACAAGAGTACTTCCAACAACCAGACACTAACCAAGAGAACAACATCATGACGCAGGACATGGCAGAGTTGTCACATGTTGCATTTTACTGCAGTTCAAACTGTTTTATGATGAGAAAGAGACAGAGAGCGATGATGTTTATTCAGATTATGACGCCACTGAGAAGGCTCATCAGGTAACTGTAACATGTGACAGGACAACCTGCTGCTTCAGCAGTTAGCACACATTAAACTTTACATGAATGCTGACACACACTGTGATCCGTCCACTCTCAAGTGAACCGCTTTGAAACAAATCCTGAAATGCTGTTTCCACAACTGCATTAGTGCGTCACGATACCAGAATTTTAAACTTCAATATTATACTGGTAAAACCAAACTATTACTACTACCTGTTTCAACACCACAACAACTAAAATGTACTAAGTCTTTGGCAGTAGATAAATATTGGGTAATTTGGGGTTTAGAAATTGCAAAAAAATCCCAAGCCAACTCCAGCACACAATCTAAACATTCACTATACAATGGCAACGTTTCAGTGCTGATTCGTTGCCAACATATTTAAGTTAGGGTACTTTCTATCAGTTAAATATTGGAGCTTTATTGTTTAAAAACATGTGGAAATGAAAAGTAGTGAAGATTTACAATTTTCGACAAGCTCCCACTGCATAAAGCAAATGACAGTAGCTCTAGTTTGACCATAAGGCTCGACCATGTTTAACAGCTCACCTTTCTGTCGCTCCATGTGCAGCTTCATAACTGTTTCATAATTGCCATGTAACCCTTTTAACCTTCCTAGAATCAATACAAATGACCTGCCACAGACACTAAAAAGGTATCCAACAACAACACAGGCTGCAGAGGAATGTGATGGATAACATCAGCTACAAAACAGAACAGATTCATGTGAACAACTCATTGACTCTGTGAGACATCAGTGTCATAAAGTCCCTTTCTAACTTTCTTACTCAGCTTGTGCTCACACAACGTCGGTAGTTCTTTCAAATGTAGAAAACCACAACCTACTGGCTTGAAAAGAAGCTCAGCTCATGAGTTTGAAAATCAAGAATACGTGAACAGATTTCTCTACCACCTGTTGGCTGCAGACACGAGCTGATGACAAAACACGGACAAATTGTAAGTCATATTGTAGACCTGTCATGTACTGAACCTCTGTTCAACAAACACCTTATTGGTCTACAATGACAAAAACATTATTTCTCTATAGCTGTTAAATGCACCACCATCAACAAATCCACATAGATTTGTCTATTTGGTGGAGGGCAGAAAGTGTGCACTATTGAACTGTCGGGGTCAGCCCTATGTTCCCACAGCCCAAAGGTCCCACAGCCCAATGGTCCCACAGCCCTATGGTCCCACAGCCCTATGGTCCCACAGCCCTATGGTCCCACAGCCCTATGGTCCCACAGCCCAATGGTCCCACAGCCCAATGGTCCCACAGCCCTATGGTCCCACAGCCCTATGGTCCCACAGCCCAATGGTCCCACAGCCCTATGGTCCCACAGCCCAATGGTCCCACAGCCCAATGGTCCCACAGCCCTATGGTCCCACAGCCCAATGGTCCCACAGCCCAATGGTCCCACAGCCCTATGGTCCCACAGCCCTATGGTCCCACAGCCCAATGGTCCCACAGCCCTATGGTCCCACAGCCCAATGGTCCCACAGCCCAATGGTCCCACAGCCCAATGGTCCCACAGCCCTATGGTCCCACAGCCCAAAGGTCCCACAGCCCAATGGTCCCACAGCCCTATGTTCCAACATTTTTTCTCAAAATTAAACCCTATGTTCCCACAACTATGCTTTGCGACCAGTTGCTGCGCTTCATTTGACTGATCTGACCGGAAGCTAGTCAATGCGAGGCCTCTGTGCTACTCAGTATAGTTTGTTTATTTAAAAGGACAACTGTTTGCAATAAACAAAGAGATGGGCGCACCAGATTTAGCTAAAAGCTACATTCCATCTGTAGTCCATTACTACTGGATAATAATAGTTGGGTGTAATTGGCTACCAAATTGGGAAAAAGGGGAATAAAATCTGATACAAATTTATGAAAAAGGAAATGTGGGAACATAGGGCCTCATTTTGGAGAAAAAACATCTACGAACTGTGGGAACATAGGGTTCTGGGAACATAGGGCTGTGGGAACATAGGGCTGTGGGAACATAGGGCTCTGGGAACATAGGGTTCTGGGAACATAGGGCTGTGGGAACATAGGGCTCTGGGAACATAGGGCTGTGGGAACATAGGGCTGTGGGAACATAGGGCTCTGGGAACATAGGGCTGTGGGAACATAGGGCTCTGGGAACATAGGGCTGTGGGAACATAGGGCTCTGGGAACATTGGGCTGTGGGAACATAGGGCTCTGGGAACATAGGGCTCTGGGAACATAGGGCTCTGGGAACATAGGGCTGTGGGAACATAGGGCTCTGGGAACATAGGGCTCTGGGAACATAGGCACGCTCCTGAATT